TGCACAAAGGAGCTCGGAGGACAAATGAGATGAAGTAAAAGCGTAGCTACATAAAACATCTGTAGGTTAGGATTATCAGCAAGGCTGTAATGGGGAAAGAAGAGGTCAGTGACACAGGTTTCATCTCCAGTGTGAAAGGCATCTTCTCCAGGGAATGATCCGCAGCCTCAGGCCAAGGGGTGAGAAGCAGCTTGCATGCACAGGCTGGAGGCTTGTCCCTTCTGTGCCTCCGTGCTTTCCCTAGAAACATATCCCTGATCTGTGCTGAGCCCTGGTGGTGTTATCCTTGCACCCATGGGGCTTAATCTTGGGGGTTTTGGGGGGGCTTTTGTCTGTTCAAAATGTTTGAAATAGCGTGAGGTCTGTGTCACAGCCTGGCATTTCACTGGCATGATTGTGTGGGCATGTGTTGCATCTGTTAGGATGAGGCTCTGGGCCTGCTGGGGCATTTGAGGATACACAGGCTGCCAGATAGTTCTGGGAGGTGTGGGGATGCAGATGACGAGGACTGGAAAAGTCAAGAGAGTGAAAACTGTTGAAAGCTGTTGATTCATCTGTAGTGCTGACTCAAACCCGCTTGGGAAAATCACCCACCAAATGGCTGTGGCTCTGCAGATTTTTGTGCCTGCCTGTACCAGGAATGTTCACAACTCAGAATATACATAATTCATCTCAGATCCCTGAGAATGAAGTATAGCTTAAAAAAATCATGAGTGAAAACAGCTTAGTGATAATGAAATAAAAACAGATCCAAGAGGAGCCCCTTAGGATTATACAGCAGATAACAGCTACTCCATAGCTGTTGGCTTGCTGAACATTTATGCCAGTGAGCAGCATTTTCCTTCTGCATTTCTCAGCCATTTGGATTCAACTGGGCAGATTATCTGTGGTGTTGCTTCTAGGTCCAAAATAACAGTGTGCAATAAGCCCCCAGCCCTTGTGGAACAGGGTCTTCCGGCATGAGGTGTTTGCTGGCTGAAGTGATCTCCAGCCTTGTGATGGAAAGCTGGGGAGCTCAAGGAGTGCTGGGTGCCAGCTGCCTGGCCCATCCTGCAGCAGTTCTGAGTGAGCCTACAGTGCTGTGGGGATTCTCTGACCTCTCAAGGACTTATTTCAAGCTCTTCTGTCTTGGCAACTGAGGCAGATCTTTTTAAGGAAAGGCCATGTAATTGCTTCCTTTTCCTCTTCCTTAATTTTTTTTTTTTTTTTAAAGCTTTCGGCTTATGCTGATTTAATGGCCACCATTGTTAGTGCTGCAAATTTGACTCCTGACAGCTATGTAGACAGAGAAAATATTCATACTTTTACCAGTGCTCAACATCTCTGGGTTTCTCTCTGGCACTGGTTTCCTCAATGCTGAAGATAGTCCAAATACCAGAGCTAAAATTGTGTTTGAAAAAGCAGGGTGGCACCTTTTTCTGAGGACCAATTTCACTGGGATTTAGTTTTCTAAATGCCTTTCTGAATCTGGGGCTGAAAGGACTTGAAGGTAGGTCAGAAAGGCAAGGAATTTTACAGGATTTTAAAATGAAAGGTGCTGCTGTAGCACACACCTGGAGATCAAACGCTTATTTCAATCATATAAGGTAATTTTAACTGCAGAAGAGAAGGTTTCTTTTTAAAACAGGAAAAGGCAGAGAAGGTGATACCCAAAGTGATTTTGGTTTGATTTCTACTCTTTACTGCAGCTGCAGACTCTATAAAGTATTTGATCTGCAACCTCTTCAGAGGTTTCCTGTTAGTGGCTCTTCTCAGAGCAAGGTAATTTCACAAGTATTCATGAAGGTCTGGGTGTTGTGACCTGACTGACACTAAGAAGCTCCATTTTATAGAACAAGTCCATTTTCTCTGCAAGTCCAGTTATCATGAGATAGGGTGAGGTGTATCCCCTGTGTCTTCAAGGCTCTTAAGACTTGCAGCATCAGCAGGTGGTGGGGAATGTGATGAAGCCTTGTTGGGGGTTTTGTTTTCCCCAGAAGATCCTGCATAACTGGCTGCTGAGCAGAGCTACCAAGCAGCCCTGACAGTTCTCTGCTGCTTCATGCCCGTATCATCTCTGAGCTGTGTAGGAGTTTGCAAAGGCAGGTTAATATTTAATGTACCTGGAGGCTTTGATGTTTCAGCTGTAGTCTGGATACCTCTAAAACCTCATAAAATGCAACCAGAGGAGGTGTTGCTGCCTTTTTATTCACTAATGCAGTCTGGAGCACCCTCCTAATTTCAATTCCTTCTTCTGTCTCCTTTGACTTGTTTGTTGAGAATCGTTATCACCAGCCTGCTGGGTGCTCATGCTGAAACTCTAGGCTTTCAGCTGTGTATCTGAAGTGCTTTGCTTGAAAGACTCTTTGTCTGATCTTCTGGGTCCTGAAGTATCTCTGCTACAAAGGAATAGTGGGATACGTGCCTAGGATGTCTTGCAGGCTGGTGGCCAGGTGATCTCCTGGGCTGTGGTGTGGGAGCTGCAGGCTAAGGCAGGCAGGTCCTCTCTTTGCTCAGCCCACAGAACGTCAGTGTGACTGTCGTCCAGGATGGTCCCACTCCCTGTCCTTCAAAGTTTTCCACTATTGAGGGTTAAAAACCTACATTCAGGTGTCAGGAAGAGACAACCAGGCACAAGTTTTCTCCTGGCTGGCTGAGATAACCACATACACTGCTTTCCCACATAGGGAGCATTGGTCCTCAATTTGGGATTGTGAAGCCTTTTGTTGCCATGGATCTCCTCACTTTCAGTCTGCCAGAACTATTTCAGTGCTAAGACTGGCCATAGAAGCCTTTGAAAGGAAGATCTGGAGAAATATCCTTCTCCTCAACCATTCCTCTTAGCTAATTTTTATTGCTCTGTCTTCTGCTTGCTGGATCATGGATTTGGCAAAAAGAGGCAGGACCATCCGCTGTGGATAATGTGGCCTCCTCTAGGCCACAAAGAACACCAAGATGTACCCTAGAGTTAGGAATCTGCATGTGGGGAGGTTTGGCCAGATTCAAGCTCTATGTATGTGAAGTAATTTCTTTGGTATTCATATGAGGATATTTGGAGAAGAGTGCTATCACAGAGGTCTGATACTTCCAGACCGTGGTCAAATAATTTGCATAACACAAAATAGCTGTGAAGTGGTCAGTGGCCTGACCTGGTTTCTAGTAGTTCGGGCTGTCTCTCTGCATAGGCAAAAGAGGCAGTAGCCCAGGACAGAAGAGGACAGCAACGCAGCAAATGTTTTCTTGCTGGTTTTGTCTGTCAAAGCTCTGGGGAGCTGGGCTGATTGCTCCTTCTCCATAGCAGTAGAAGCTTTACTTCCAAATTCCCATTACTCTTCCTTTGAGTGGCAAAATTCAATTTTGCCTGAATTCTTGAGAAGCCTTGAGTGATGTACCTGCAATTGTGACAAAACTTAATGTGGCCTAAATACTTGAGCAGCCAAGGTTTGTACTTCTGTGGCTTCTGTGCTCCTAGCAATGCCTGAGCTAGGTATTTTGAAGCTGATTCAGACATGTATATATGAGCTTCGGTCATCTTAGTCGTGGTATCATAATTAAAACTGTGGGAACTGAGCACTCTTGAAAAGGGAAAAAATACTGTAAGCATCTGCTTATGAGTGTTGTCCCTCCAGAACTTGCACCCTGAGATGTGAGAGGAGACTTTGTAAATGACGTTAGTAGTTAGCAGTCTGACAGGAGTGTTGGTAAGGGTACAAAATGGATCTCTATTAAGATAGTCTGTATTGTCATCTGCTAGACTAAAAGGTAATGAAGTTGAAACAGGGGCCTTGAGTAGTACAGGCAAACCTGATTTTTCCTGCACGTGGATGGCAGTCTGCCGCCTTCTTGCTCCATCACATAAATTTTGGTATCTGCTTCACCAGGACACTCTCACCCTGAAGGTCCTTATTATTCCGTCCCTGCTGAAGGGCAGTTATACATTCAGGCCATCCCCAAAATAATAGATGGACTGTCCTACATCCTCAGCATGGTGAGACACACAGACCCATATACTGGCCCCACACCAGTGCCTAATCCTACTTGGCTTATTTTTGAAGGGAGTCAGGGAGTGCAGAGTAATACAGCCCAGTTTTCTCATTCTAGATGTAAAATGCACATCTGTATTGTGGCTATAAAAGATGATATACAGGTTCTTTCTCTTGAAACCCTGATATGACTTCTAGCTTTTTCTTGTGTAGTACAGAAACTTGGTGAAAGAAGGGCTGGAGAAGCATGCTAGAAGCACATAAATAACACTTTTGTCAAAGAGTATTTCTACAGGCCCCCTAAACATCAGCTTTTGAATGTCTTTTCACACAAACTCAATTTCTGTATTGTTGTTTTCCGAGAGATCTCTTCACAGTGTAATACCAGGCAAGCCATTTCACTTGTAGGCTTAGATGAGGGTATGTTTCAGAGATGGATCTTTTCAGGATTTACTGAATGCTCTGATGTAACTTCATTGCATGATACAGTGAAATATTATCTACCTTCCATCTCAATGAGTTACATGAGGGCGATTGTATCAGCCAATTTGCTGGGCATGATTTCAGTGCTCAGGTAGATGTGAAGTGAAATTTCAGGCCTTTAGGTTGATCTTACCGTATGCTGAATTGCCTCTTCCGAGCAGTATGCACTCTAAGTGGCAACTTAGTACTAACAACTTTCAGTGCAAGCCCATGTACTGTATTTTCCCCTTTGACCTTTCCAGATCCCTGCCTCTAATGAGAGATCGTGAACACAGAATTGCCGATTATTAGCATTTCTTAGTCTCCTATTAACTAAATTTCTTCTGAGCTTTATGCTACCCAGTCTAACATAAAAATAAACTGCTGAATGTCTGCTGCATGTTTCATGTATGTCTGTGGAACATACAGCCTGCTTGGAGGACCTGGACATGTCCTTCTCATGCCGTGTGGGTTATGGCATACAAAAATACTGTTTGTAGTAGGATGCTGCATATGTTCAGAAACTGTTGAAAGTCTTTGGAATTCTTATAACTGTTTATTCATTCTTTTGTTTAGGAGTCAGTGACCTGTAAGTGCTCATTATGAAGAGAGATCTGGTTTTCTTGGTGACTCTAATTAGCCTTGCCTTCCTGTCACTGCTAAGGTCTGGATATCCTCAACATATTGCAGAGGAGTCCTGCTCTGTTCAAATTCTTGTTCCAGGCCTCAAAGGTAATGTGGAAGCCTACTCCATCATTCAAATACTAATCCTTTCTTTCTAACAGGCTCATTTACATCACTGACAGTTTATAGCAGAGACAAAGAAGGTGCCTTTCAGTTGTCCTCTTACTTGCCCATTTGTAGCCTCCTTAAAAATGGAGTTTTAAGGTCCGTAAGGTGAACTTAAGTCAGTTAAAATAAACACAGTTCAGAGAATGCATGCCAAAGTTTCCCGTACTTGCTCCTGATCAGGAGCCTGTTACTCTGACACAGTGCCTGGTTGCTGTCTCTGTGTTTGTATTCAGGAGTGGTACTCATGCCCAAAGACTTTAAAATCAGGCCCTACTTTATACTTGGAAAGGTTTTCATTGCTATTTTGCAGTATAATGAGAATATGCTTATCTTCGCTTGATTTTTAAATACTGAAGTGCCTTTAGAAGAAATAGAAAATCAGTTAGGTTTTTGGCATTTCTATAGTGTCTGTGGACAAAAGCAACTTTTTAAAGAAATATGTGCCCAAACTATTGCCCCAATATATTATTATTATGATAAAAAACTGCACAACTAACCTTCAATTTTTTCTGGTAGTTTCAGATTGTAATATCACAAAACTCACCTAGCAATATTGGTGCCACTAATGTTATCTAGTACAAATGTAAGCTTTACCCTGGCCTGGGGGCCATAGTATAGACTGCAGATGCTGTCTGTGCTGGCTAATTGGTTGGTGAGGGCAAGGCCCATAGAATCACAGAATAGTTAGGGTTGGAAAGGACCTTAAGATCATCTAGTTCCAACCCCCCTGCCATGAGCATGGATACCTCACACTAGACCATGTCGCCCCAGACTCTGTCCAACCTGGCCTTGAACAGTTCTGTCCTGCAGTTGTTCATACAGTTAAATTGTGAGCACAGCCTGGCCACAGGCTTGGTTGTGGTGTAAACTGCCCTTGTCAGATCTTGCCTTGTTTTAATATGGTTGTGCTGTGTTGGAACCAAAAGAATTGGGCTGTTGTGCTTGGCCATTTAGCTTCAGGAACAAAAAAGCTCTCATTTTGCTTATTATTGATGCAGTTTTGGATGCCTGAACTGAACCGAAATCTGTATTTTTTTTATTTTACTTCAGTAAGCAGCCTTTAAAGTCTCAATATTTTCACCTTCAGCAGATGTTCTAGTTAGAAAGAACAATACAATAGCCAAGTCTCCTGAGGTTTGACTAAGCCTTGAGTAAAGTTGTTTCACTTGTTTGATATATTTTTGGTGAAATAGGCATAAGATAGTGCTGTTGATGCAAGTCACAGGGAAGAACACAATCAAATTAAATATATGTTGTTGAAAATTACAGGGAAGATCAGTGAAAGGGTTAGACTCCACAGCACTGGGGACTGAAGCTTTGAAATGATTTTTCATTTCAAAGAAGTTGAGGCTTTCACAAGTTTTCTTACTGCTTTAGTTTCCTTATTTGTGTAATCAGTCAAAATTAACACCTGTGAGTACCATTTCAATGTGAGGACCGTTATTACTATTATATGAAGCAGAGTTTTCTAAAGCACATAAACCGTGCAGGATCCTGGCCCTTTGTAGAAGGCAGTCCTGAGCCAGGAAACAACAGAGAGGCCTGAAAACCTTCATGTGTTAATGATTTCACTTTGCTTCATGAGATGTAAGCCTCGCAAAAGTGAGAGATTGATGTACAAATTCAGTGAAGCACAAAATGGCCTGATACAACTCTAGTTAATGTGACCCCCCTAAAAAGCTATCAGTGTTCCAGCTACACTGCCAGGGGGACTGGCTCTGAAATTGGTAATGAGATGCTGCTGTCCCCTCTGGAACAACTCCAACCCATTTTGGTGGCCAAGGCTTCCTTTAAGCTGAGCATATACGTGGCTGTGCGCCCAAATTTTGGCTCCCATGCAGTGGGGTTTGCTCACTGCAGCTTTTAGATCTGCCCCATCTCCTCCTCTGCTGGACTGCCAGCACCATCTCCTATGATGGAGGAGCAGAACCCTGCACTGCGGCTGGGCACCAGCCTGCCGGGATTTGGGAAAAATAGGTACAGGGAAGAAGTGGAAGAAGTGAGGCAGACTGTTGGATGAGTGAAGGGAAGAAACAGGAGGAGAGGGTTCAGCCCAAGAGGTGGTGAGAAAGTGGAACCCAAATAGGGGTTGGTGAAGGAGAAAAGTACCCAAAAGTGGGGGAGCATAATGGAGAAATTTTAGAACAGGAAGAGGTAAAGGGAAAAGAGAAAAGAAAGGCACAAAGAACAAGACTGAGTGGAGAGACTGGAAACTAAAAAATAAAATACGATTAAGGAAAGAGGAATAAGAAAATGCCACAAAGCCAATTAGGACCCCACAGAATAAAGAGGTGAATCTGAAGGGGGATGAGATGAGAATGGAGGTGGAAATGGAAGATGAAGACAGCCAGTAAAGACACCAAGAATAGAAAAAGGCACAAATGAGTTTAAGGTCAGCAGCTTAGGTCTTAGGAACTGGGTTTTTTATTTTATTTTTTTTATAACCTAAACAGTGTAAAGGAGTAAGATGAAATGTGGAAGGGAAAAATACTGTGGCTCTGAGAATCCAGACAGCAGACTAATCCATGTTTTTGAAAGCCGACTTAATAATGGCAAAAGTGTGTTGTGTCTGAAGAAGGGATGGATGATGAAGCCTCACTACATTGCTGCTCATATTCTTCCTGAAGCCTGATTCCTTTTGATAGGCCCATGAGATTGAAGTTACTATTATTGTGGTGAAAAAAATAACATGGAACAATCCTTCAAAGCTTGAATTCTCAGTTTGCCACCTTATTTTGTCTCCCTTCTAGAATCTAAGGCAGGAGTTGTCTTTAATAGTCTCAGTGGCATATAGTACCTACAAACGTTGATACTATGTAAATAAAATAAACCCATTTTTTTTACACCCACGCTTCATTTGTCTATTCACACAGGGAATATGAGTAATGGAATAAAGTTATCACTAGCCCAGGAATGCTTAATAGATCAGGTAGTTAATATTTGTCGTGCTATTTTCTTTATAGTAGATGGTACAGCTTAAGGTAGGCAAGATGCAGACATAATAAGAAACAAATCCTGTCCCAAAGAATTGACAAAAGGAGGCAAATCAACAGCAGTGGTAAGATACATAATCTGAAGTATGAAAGATCTCTATCAGAGATAATGGGAGAAGTTTGTAGTAGTGTCAGGGTTGTGCCTGATACCTGCAATCCTGCTGCAGTTCAGTTTGGTGTCAGGGCTAGATTTCTTCTGGGGGTTTGGGGCATCACAACACTGTGGAGCACTGCTGGGCGCATTACGCCCTGTCTCAGCTGCCTGGGCAAGAGCTGCATTGCGCTAAGGAGGGAAGTACTCTTTCATGCAGAAGAGCTAGAGCAAAGAGCTGTCCTGGAAGGGGTGGAGAGAAGATTAGTGTTAATTGATGATAAATGAAATTGATTTAAATGCCTTGACAGAAATCTGTTCTGTTGCCTGTGACACTTGTACCAACTTTGCTTCCTCAGCTTGCATAGTACTCATGGAATGTAAAGCAAAGTTAGGGACTTAAACACAGCAAAGCTGAACTGGACCACTGATCAGTCCTTCTTGGCCAAGGTCTTACTGCTTGAAATAGCAGATAACAAAAAATACATCTGGGCCTGTAATGGGGCTCTCTCTTCCCAGGGAAAGTTTCTTAAATGCCTACACTAAGGAATGCAGTGTCATCTTATTATAGGAATAAATGCAGGCAAGTGTAATGGCCTGAAGCAAGAGTGATCTATTTTATTGATCCCTAATGCACAGCTTTCACTCTGAAGAACATGTAAAGCAATAGGCTGTAATAGCGTGCTCTCAGCCTCCAGAGAGCAGGGAAAAGTCATTGTCAGGATTTATCTTTGGGAAGCAAAGAACTCATAACCAGCCCTGGGGGGGGAAAAGGCAATCATACAAAGCCTATTGGTTACCTGATAATAAAAAAAAGTGACATTCCCAAATGTGCCAAATAATAGCCTGTTTCATACTAACAATATTATCCACTGGGGATTATGTGGAGTTTGTCCTCATTAAGGTCAAAGAATGGCCTACTTTTGATGTCTGAAGGTAGGTCTGCAGTCGGCTGGCAGCCTGAAGAAGGAAAATATAATAGATGGAAGGCCAAGTTCAGCTCACAGCCACCTATGTTTGCAATAAGAAGAGAGAGTGAGCTGGAGGCTGCATATTTGAAATATGCCATGTTGTGGCTTGTTTTTACATCATTTCTATGGTTCATTTCTGAACCACAGCTGCCAGCTATGGCAGAGAGCAGAGCTTGAGTTTCCTGCTATAGTGCTCCCTTCAGCTTCCTGGAGAGCAGCTATTGCTCACTCTCCTCTGTAGACACACAGCATTGGGCATCAGGTGTGCTCTGCTAGCCCTGGCTTTTAGATCCTGGCATTTTCTTGTCTGTGGAAACCGTAGAACTTGCTTCTTTGTATAAATCTTTTTTTGTAAAAGTGGCTATGTAAATCATTCTTTAAACTTCTGTCTATTTGTTTAAGAGATTGTAATTTTATGTCAGTGGCAAACTATAATAGTAGTACAATAGCAGGGAGTGAAACAAGCTAAGCATCCTCAAATTTCCAATGAAAGGCAGCAAGGAGGTGAACATTTACAGAAAGTGTTGTTTAAATATGCTTGATACAGTAATCCGCCATGAGCCATGTGCATGTCAGTACAATGCATGGTGGTTCATACCACAAAGATTAAAAGGCACAGTATATAACTCTCAGTTATATATGGATTAGGAGATACTCTTTCATGCTAAAAAATGGTCCTCTAAATGAAGGATGCCTTCCTGTAGGTCTTTGTAAATGGCATAAACTTTTTTCTCTATTTTTTCTTTTTTCTTTTTAATTTTATATTACAGGTAAGCCATTTTCACTTGAGACTTAAGTGTATCTTTAGTAGATAGTTGGGAAGCGTTTGGACCCAGTGCTGACTTGAGTCCTAATTCTGAAGCTTCTGCTTAAGCAAATTGTGCAGTTGGGCTTTTTGGAGGTTGACAGTATGAGTAACATCCACAAAGCTAGCCCCAGTGTATGAGACTTCAGTAATGTATTGACTGTGGTTTTGTCAGTGTTTACCCCAATTTCAGGAGACACTGTTCTCCATGCATCAAGTAAAGCTGTTAAGTCAGAATGCATCTGCTTTTAATTTTTTCCTGTCTTGTTACAGTAGATATTTATGTTCACTGGGGAAAATGACACTTTTGTCACTGCTGCCAACACAGAATAGTCCAGGTTTAATATGATTCATATTTTTGTTTCCTTTTGTACCAACAGGGGAGGCTGGAGAAAAGGGGGAGAAAGGTGCTCCAGGTCGTCCAGGCAGAGTTGGGCCTCCAGGAGAAAAAGGTAACTTTATTAAAGAAGATGTTTTGAAAGTCATTCCTGACCAAATGCTACTTTTTCTTGGAAGGCAGTGATGATGGGGATCCTCTGTCCCTTTGCTAGGTGACTAAATTATGCTTGGGCATTTTCATATACCATTGTGGTGTTTTCACCCCATTGGCAGCTCAGCCCCATGCAGCCACATTGGTTCACTCCCCCCCATCCTGGCCTGGTGGGATGAGGAAGAGAATTGAAAGAGTAGAAGTGAGAAAACTCATGAGTGGGTTGAGATAAGGACAGTTTAATGGGTAAAGCAAATGTCTCATATGAAGGTCTCTGTGAAGAAAGGCATTGTGTCGTCTTCATAAATTTCCTTCTGCAAATGAAAACCTCAGATCGGAGGGAAAGACTCACGGGGCTCGATTTTCTTGTTTCCTTTTGTTGTAAATGTGAGCACTCACAATTACCTGAATTAAAATGCTTGAGGGAAGGTGGTAAGCTATAACAGGCATAGATGGCCAGGAGTGGTTCTACATTTTTTGGATGACAGTTCACTAATATTTGTGGAAAGATGATGGTAACCCTGTTTGCATTGTAGTTAAAAAATGTTTTGAGCTCTTGAGAGGACTGTTGCTCAGTAGTAGTCCGTTATATAGTTGAGAGAAATGTGGCATTTCTGTCTTGCAGGAAATTCTTTTGAAATCTAGGGGTTTTTTTTGTTTGTTTTTGTGGGTTTTGTTGATTGGTTGGTTGGGGGTTTTTTTGTTTGCTTTTTTTTTTTTTTTTTTCCGGAAGCAAGGAGGAAATTTGACCGTCATAAGTTTTCCAGGAGATGCACATTCTGAAGAATTCACATTAGGGGTAGTCAAAACCTTGTATTTCAATACTGAAATTAAACATTTGACATTCCTGTCATCAGAATGATGGAGTTAGTTTTTACTGAACTGAATATACAAACTTCCTTTCAAAGCAAACACAGAGGTAATTTATACTTCCTTATGATGGTGCATGATCCATTATGTAGTTCTTCTGGGCAATCACAGATGTCTGATACATGCAGTTTTTCCTGGGACCAAAATCCATAGCTAGAGCTCTTCCCCTTACAATGCATTGAAAAATTTGTAACTCCCATGAGGAATGTTTATGTTGTCAGTGTATTTCCCTTATGGAGATGTACTCTTCAAGGATTGTTCTTATAAAAAATACTGGAAACTAAAGTTTTAACTCTTGCAAGGTAATGCTGCATTAATGCTTGCATTTAATGCTTGCAAGGTAAAGCAGAAGTGATGTTGAAGTATCACAGAATAATTTAGATCAAAAGGTTATAAACAGCTCGTCTAATCCAATCTGTTGTGTAAACAGGGCAGATTCAATTTTAGATCAGGCTGCTCAGGGTCATGTCCAGTAGACTTTTGAAAATCTCCAAGGATGGAGATTCCATATCCTTTTTGCTCGGTCTGTTCACCACTGTCCTTGTGAAAGACCTTTTCCTTAAAGCCAACTGAATTTTTTCTTGTAACTTGTGATCATTGCCTCTTGTCCTTTGTATGTGTCTGAGAAGAGAAGGCTTCATCTCTACAGACAACTTGTAGTAGTGCAAGACTGCAATTAGGTTCTCCCTTACCTTTCTCTGCTCCAAAAGACCATCAAAATCTCGGTGTAGAGTTTAGACCTGTGATCCTGGTGCTTAATACATAGCTTGGTGGATAATGAAAGATGGATAAAACTGTTGCCTCATTTTGGATTTGCCTGTTTCTAAGAGCATACATGGATGAACACAGCAGCCCTGTTTCTGTGCTAGTAGCCTGTTAAACTGCAGTTACTGTGTTAACTTGTTTCACACCCTGTTTTTCTATTGAAGCCTGGTAATTGTTGTCTTGTTGGGCTAATATTTGTCTCCTTCTGTTGATGGAAAGTGCTTAACTTCACTGTATTTTTCTGCTAATTGAGTAAGTGATGGTTTACATGAGGGGGGAAACTAACTCTTCTGCAACATTTGTAGAGTTTTTTCCTTCTAGTTTTAATTTACATTATCACAATCACAGTAATCTTTTTTTTTTCTTTTTTTTCCTTCTTCCCCTTTCTTTGTTTCATTTCTGAAGCAAGTTTGTCCTAAGAAAATGTGCTTTGAGCTCCTTAGGTACGCAATAATCAGTGAATAAATAACTTACTTACAGAAGAAGAGGTTTTCTTATGGTATTGACCTGAAATGAACACCTCAAGATTAGGAAGTGCTGCAAATGTTTTTATTATCTCCTTTCCTCATGATCTTTTCTAATTTTGGTAGCTCTGAAACAGATAAACATTAAAACTTTCTGGTGCTTACCTGAAATATATCTGGTTTTGAGTGTCCTGAGGTTTCAGGGTGACATCAGACATCCTGATGTCTTTGGGAACTGATTAAGGTTAAGTTCCACTTACATTCCTCATTGCTTTTAATTAATTGTATAGGTCAATTATGATGCATAGCATGGCAGCAGAATATAAAACTGTGTTGGCCTTCTGCAAAGCATAGAGCACTGGGGCATGTACAACAGCTAATTCAGATGAAAGCAGCGTGTACTGCAGTGCTGGTTTTGGGGTGTGAAGTTAATAGGTGTAGCTTTCCCCACTTGCACTGATTGCTGCACTGCGTGCTCTCATGTTGGGAAAGAACTCAATTATTTGAGTCATGATCCAATTGTGAGGCCATAACAACTTCCATGTATATAAATTCCACATAAATACTTTAATAACAATACAGTCCTGTGAATATTCCCAGAGTAGCATGGATTCTGCTTATGGCAATCAAAAGAAGGGTGAATAGAGGGTGAATTTACTGTTGGAATGCATAATCAAAGGAGCAGCATATTAAAAATGTGTTCTTCAAGATATTTTAATTTTCTTAGAGCCATAACCATTTGAAAATATTTTAGTATTTTAATTTCAGCCTTCATACACCATACTTCATTTATACTTCATTATAGTGGTATGTGAAGCAGAGTTGCATACTGTTCTTAGGGGTGGAACTCAACTGTCTCTACCTTTGTAGTGTTAGCACAGTGATTCTGGCTTTTGCCAGCTAACACTTTTCCAGGCATTTCTTGGGCACATTTTGTAAGATAACACAATGAGCAGCCTGCAAGTGATTATCTTGGCTTGAAGAATAAGACAATTTAATATCATTGAGTGTACCATTCTCAGCCACTTGGTTCATACTGCTAGGAAACCTTCCCAGGCATTTAGTTTGCTAGTACAGACATAGCCTCTTAAGTAGGAGAGAATACTCATTAATTTAACTGGATTGGAGCCAGAGTGCTCAGTCATTTGTATAATCAAATTCTAAAGAGAAGTAATAATATCTTAATTTATATTTTAGTATTACTGATTGCTCGTTAATATGTAATCAATCAATCCTTTACATTTCTGAGTCAACTTTTACATGAATTTATTGCTCACTAAGGAGTGCTGCAGGCAGGATTCCATATAAAAGTCCTGACATTGACAGTTCTGGATTCACAAAGTGGGTATCTGTTTCAAACCTGTCTTTCAGTTCCATCTGAACTCAGTAGAATTTTGGGACAATCGGTGTTAGACTGAATGGACAAAAAAATGGCAGATGGGCTTCAGTGTAAATAAATATATAGCCTAGGGAAATTAGGGATGCATAATTTAATCCATACTTACATAATACAAAAAAACCCCAGAATTGTCACTTAAAACTCGAGAACTGCTCTTAAGTCATTAGCAGCAGTCCCAAAGCTAACAAAACACTGCCCATCATTGGAAAAGATAGCAAGGACAAAATAGGAAGCTCATTTTTGTGGCTGATTTGCTCTGTGTAAAAGCCTGACGTGCACCATCTCATGCAATGAGTGTGGTTCTGGCCTCTGTCAAAAAGGACATAAAAAGTTAGAAAGGGGCACCAGAAATGCAAAAAAGATGAAGGAGCTGCCTCATAAGGAGAAACTGGACAGGTTGAGACTCTTGCATCTGTACAGAATAGTCTGAGAAGGATATGATCGAGGTTACAGAATCACTAGATCCCATCATACCTGAACTAGGAGGCAGTCACTGAAACTGCTGGGGAGCTGATTCAGCAACTCCATCTGCAGTGGACTGCAGATAGTGGCTGTAGTTGCATGATCTCCATTTATTGCACCTTCTACTGCCACTGTGTGAATCAAAGTCTTGGGCTTAGAGGGACCACTGGTCTGATCAAACTTGGTGTTACGTTGTTAATGTAATTCTGGCGAGGTATGTGTTTTGTAAGGGAAGTTATTTGTATTTGTGTGCATCTGAATATACAGTCCCCCATTCAGGGATGGATCATGCTATTTCCATTTCTTTTTTTGAATGTGTTTTAAAGTTCTTTAAGCTTTTTCTGCTGCCTTCAGATTGGATTGTGTTTTCTTACTACCTTTAGTTTCCTTTACAAATTTTCTAGCCTTCCTGATTTCTAGTCAGTATGGATTGATAAGTTTCCTTTTTTTAATTTTTTTTCCTGTCTGTTATACAAAGCTTGTAGAGTTTCACTTTGTCAGTAAGATACCTATGTACCTGTCCCACTAGAGTGGGAGATGTGAGGTGTTTATTTCTCCACTGACTACCAAGGAAACTTGGAGAAATAGCTGAGACTAAACCCCTAACTTTCAGGCTGGCTAATGAAATGAATTTGTCTCAACTACATAAAATGCCACCTAGCATTATACTAGGGGGAAGATTCTGTAATCTTGGTCTATATTTTGCATTCTTTTTCTATGTATCCTTTGCAGATTGCTGTCAAATATGGCACTAAAGTCAAGAGGCCTTTGGTTTGGTACACTTCTACCTTTATTGGTGGATAGTTGTCTGTGATGTCCGCTATGTCAAATCATGAAGAATTTTGTCGCGGTTTAAACCCAGCTGTTAACTCAGAACCATGCAGCCACTCGCTCACTCCCTGCCTCCCCTTTCTCCCCCTGCTTCCAGGGATGTGTAATTGCTAAATGCTTCTATTATATACCTCCCAAAGTACAGGGGTGGTGACCACACTGGGAACGCAAGCCAGATCAATTTCATGATCAATGAGTCTATTGTATTACAAGTCATTACCATAAAGTAGTGAAACAAGAACCTTAGCCCAGGCTCCCAGCCGATAAACACTAACACAGCAAATACCAGCTGTAAGTAAGGTACGACACGCTGAAACTCTGAGATCAAGAGCAACAACTTTGAGAGCCAATAAATCAGCATTGTGACGAGTGACTATTAATCTGAAACAATGAATGCTTATCACAAATACAATTAGACACACTCTGGTCAGATCTGTTGTTATCTCAATCCTTCGTGCCCCACGTTGGGCACCACAATATTCCAGAGATTTAACATAGCGGCATAAGAAGGTAACATGAAAAATATTTTTAATATCAAAAAGTCACTACTGTCATTGTGTAATTACTTTTCAAGTTTTTCCTGAGGTTTTGCAATTACTTACTAAACACAGTTATTATCATAGAAAATATACTTAAAGTTTACTCCCATAAGGACACTTTCCACACTCTCATATGTCTCTCAGTTCAACTAACTTCAGCCTAGAGAGCTCTATTATTTCATTTTTGACTCCAAGATCAAGCACATGTTCTACAATGGATATTACTTCTACAATGATAGAATTTCAAATAAAGGTAGCCAACATGTTAACTCTCATTTGAAATATAACCATGCCAATCTAAGTCCATCTGAGCCACTTCAGTCTTAGTAGCTTTATCCACTTGTTGGTTGTTCTGGTGTTCCTCAGTGGCCCAGCGGGTACATGGGCAACTACATGGCATACCTTCACCACTAGGTTCTGCACCCGGTAAGATGCAGATAATTCTGCACCTGATACCAAAAAGCAATATCTTGCCACAGTGCAGCAGCCCAGATGGGTTTACCTCTGCGTTGCCAAAAGAATTGAGAAAAATGCATTGGCAATATCAATTGTGGCATACCACTTGGCTGCCTTTGACTCCAGAAAAACATCTGAGCACCATAGCTGGCAGGATTTGAACCTGCACAGGGAAACCCCAATGGATTTCTAGTCCATTGCCTTCACCACTTGGCCACAACTACCTGCTGCTAAAGGAATATATCTGATTTGTTGAAGTTTGAGAAGTAAACTCCTGCTCTCTTCATTTTGACACACTTCAGTTCACCTGTGACACGGTGAATTTCTATTTCTGCTGTATTTTTGACACTTTCTTTTAAGTACTTTTAAACCTTCTTGTCTGTTCCAATTAATCCTATCTGAAAAAATTGGCCATACTGTGTAGAGATCCCCATTTATAGTGTTGCGCTGAGACAAAGCCTTCACTTTTTCCACTGGTTGTGCAGCCCACCATTTATCTCTGGTATTTTATTTATTTTATTTATCTCTGGTATTTATTAGGCCACCAAGAAGATCATTTCGAGTTTCCTTCTCTTCAGTTCCTCCCCAAATCCTTCAAGTCTTCTATAGTTGGTTTCAGTGTATACCACCTTCATCTGAAAGATGACAGATGACTTACTTCATATTCTCCATTCAAACTTTCTGTTAGATTTCCTACTTTTGGTCTATGGAGACTTAATTTCCTTCATTGTCCCCATTTCTTTCCAGCTCTGACTTCCTGATTTCATTAAGACTCTTTAGACTGCAGTTTTGATGATCATAGGGCCACTAAAAAGGACTTTACAAAAGGCATTCAAACTTTTGAAACCCTCAAGGCAGATAGATCTCTCTTGAAACCTTGTGATTTATTCTGCAGAAGAAGCAGAATAAGCAGGCCTCTGGAGTAGAAGCAGGGGTTAGTCACTCTAAGAGAAAACCAAATCCAAATAGTTCTTTTAATGAGCACAGGAGGCTTAATGTATGTCTTCCTTGTTTGAGATAACACACTTTTACTTCTGAGTAGATCATGTAGCTTTGACTGGCTGTTACTGAGAAGTAGTTCATTTTCTGGGCAGTATTTATGAGAAGGAAAGTGAAGTCATTTCATATATTAATTTATGCATTAGGTTTATTTAATTTCTTTCTAGTGTTTATTTAATTTCAGGTGTAGCAGCCTGAAGAGAGAAAGAATTAAAACATTTGACAGTCTTTTATGGTAATCTCAATTCATAAATATCCAAAGCAAGAAAGGTCACTTTTAAAGCAATACAATAAACTTATTACAAGCTGATACTTTAGAGATTTTTGAGGAAATACCTTCTCAATATACTGCCTGTATTGGATAAGTATCCAGTGGTGGTATCAGTACCTTTATAACCCACACAGCCTGATGGAATGCACCTTTAGGGCAAGCCATGAATCTGTTCTGAATGTGAAGCTATATTCAGAAAGTAGATCTTCAGCTGGCAGAGTGGATTACTTCCATTCTTCCAGTAGGAATATATAGCATAAGATAAAAAATATTTGTGTTTTCTGGTAAAATTTCCTAATTGAGTCTGAATTTGATCCTTGTTGGAAAAAAAAGGAAAATTACTGATTGTAGGATTTGCCAGTAATTAATTAGACCAAGAAGTCATACACCTTCATCTTCTCTCACTTCAGAGGAAATGATTTCTTTCTGACTCATACAGTCAAGTGACAGTTGCTTGAGGTTTTATGGAGTAATAATCCAGAGGACATCTCTTAGCTCAGTGGTGATCAGTTTATATTCTGAAACTTGTTACTGATTAATTGGTCATAAAATTATCCAGCTTTGAAAAATAGGTAGAGGAAATATGTGACTGTCCAGTTACAGTAACAACAGAGGGCAACAGATCTTGAGTTGTCATAAATCTGTAACTGAGGCTGAGCTGTGACAAATTACACAAGTTCAGTTGCTGTATCCCTATGGTAGATTGTCCTCCTAACTTGTCTCCCCTTGCTTCTGTGTAGCTGAACAGTGTGTAACAGATGTTGCTTTGAGCAAAGACACAACCTTTTCAACAGTCCTTGAAAAAAACCTGCTTCAATATTTCCTTTGGTCTTGGGTTTCTGCAGGATGGGAGCCTTGGAAGGCATTTGGCTTCTTTTCCCTGTAGTTCCTTCATACCTGGTCTCCATTAATACTGTGTGGTACAGTGGGAAATCTATCTCATATGAATGACATAGCTGTACAGCTGTGCTGCCTCCAGACCACATTTCTCCTTGAAATCATGATACAGAGAGGCCTAAATCTGATGGTGGAGCATTGATTTGTTCAGGTATTGCACTCAGGAAATGTTATCGCCATGTACACTGAAATTATGGAACCAGCAAGGCTGGAAAAGGCCTTCCTGATGCTGCTCAGGCCATAGGAACTGCACCATCAGGCAAACTGTGCCATGTTCACTACACAGTGTGTGCGACAAAGCGACAGGTCTCGTTTCATAGGTCTCAAAGTCTACCTAAAACAAATCAGGGAATTCTCTTTAAACCAGTGCCAGAACCAAAGTATCATTTCAAAATAATAATCTGGCAAGCTTAGACTATTTAGAGTTTATTGACTAGAAATGGCTTGGTTTAAGCCAAAACCTTCAGTCATGTATAAACATGCTCTATTTATTCTATTAGGTGAGTAGTGCTTATTAATTTCAACTGCTGATCTCCTGAACTTGGACATGAGCTCTGTAGACATGTGATTGAGTCTTTGCTATTAGAGGCTAAAGTTCTTTTCTCAGATTCACACCATCAAGATACTTATTTTTTGTAATGTTTGAGAATGCCATCTATGACCTAACAGGGATGTTTTATCTGTTTCATTCTTCAAGCTTTGGAGGAGCTCAGATCAATGAGATCAGTACTTGAATTGTGGCGCACATTTTATTAGTAACAGTGCTTCAGCTTGGTTCGTGAAGGCAGTGATGGCAAAGAGACTGCCTGTTCCAGTGCAAATTCTGTTTCCCCTGAAGCAATTCTAATATTCCCTTTACATCACACAGGAAAGTACAACTAATAGAAAAGAGGTCAGAGTTAGACAAAGTAGGTGAATCAACCTGCCTTGCATCAGATTTCTGGGTATGCCTCATGGACACAGATAGGTGTCAGTGGCTGGTTCATGCAGATTTGCTGACAATTTCAGTTGACCTTAAGAGGTGAATAGTTCCCTTTTATTTGCAAGAACACAGCTGAGGAAAATTACTTTTTTAGCAGCTCCTTTGCTACAGTTGCGCTTCGAAGTATTCTGTAGAGCTGTCTTAAACGTTCAGCATTGCTGGCTTCAGTCAGGTTTTCTATGAACATGTGCATGTGTCTGTGTGTATATAAATATTTCCATTAATTTTCATTTTTCAATAATGTCATCTTCAAATGTAAGAGCAAAGAATGAAACTGTGACTGCTTCCACAGTGTGTATATTGTATAAATAAGCCATTTAGCCCAAATTCAGCCCTCAGTTACAGTGGAGCTACTGTGTTAGATGAAACTGTCACTTGTGTTTGGATCCTTTAGGTCTTCTCAACTCCATAATAGTTTTAATCCACTGATCAGTGTTTGAAGGCACCCCCCATCATTTTCAGTGTGACTCTGGCATGATCATCTGAGAGTTTGCAAAAGCTTTTCCAGTGGATCTGAGCCAAGATCTGTTTTCATTTACACGTACATGCCTTGTTAATGTCAGTTGCTTTGCAAAGATCAAATCACTGTCTAGGTTACTATAAGTAAGTTCTTCACAAGGAGTGAGCTGGACCTCTGGAGTTCAATGAATATTTGGGATATAGTTTGTTTTCACTTATTGTAAAAGCTGATACTGAAGCATGCTGGAATCTGAATGAATTGGTCTAGGTTCCTACCTTGTGTTTGTCATTTTTCTGTTATGTATAGGAGAAATGGGGGACAAAGGACAGAAAGGCAGCATGGGACGGCATGGAAAAATTGGTCCTATTGGTTCAAAAGGTATGCTCAGTTCAATTTTGTTTTCTCCATTTGTGTTTCAGATGAATAATCTAGTCATTTATGTTTGAGAAAAGCTTAGGGGCTTGAACAATGGTTCGTGAGTCTCAGAGTTTATCAGCCAGGGAGTTTCTCTGGTGTAGTCAGACACATGACTGATATCTCTCAGCCAGTTACCTTTCCCTCTGAGAGCAGTGTATTTAGCCTTATAGCAGGGTAAGAATCCTGGTTTAAGGTTAAATAAAGAACTTCGTGCACTGTTGTGCAAGTGTGGCAGTTAAGAGCAGCACATGAGAAGGTGCACTGTGTTTTGACAGACTTTCAAGTGCCAATTCTAATTCTAAATTCCAGTCTTGCCTACCCCATAGGCTTCCCATGTGACTTTGATTAAGTGATTTTCACCAATGTTTACTTAAACATCTAGATTATGAATCTAGACTTAGGCACCGGTGTAACATGTCCAGCCCTGTTCCCTCTACAGCATCTGAGCTTACTGGTTCTGTGAAGTTCATGTATGTCAAAAAATGGATATCGGTACATATTCTTTGTGTTCAAGTTTCATAGCTTTGGCTGGACAGGAAAATTTGTATTTTTGTTTGGGCATATTTCTACTTTTCATATTTGAATGTTACTAGAGAAAAAATAAACCAGTGCTAATGAACTGTTGACCAAAAAAGCTGCTTTAAATTTATATTCTTTTTTATGTCTTTAGGTGAAAAAGGAGACGTAGGTGACATAGGACCACCAGGTCCTAATGGTGACCCAGGTAAGCCATGTAATACCTTGTGTATGTGAAGGATTTTACAAGATGCATGCATCATCACAAAAACACATGCCAGTTTGCATATTGGGGGAGATAACGAATAGTTTTTGAGCAGGCACTGTAATATTTCAGTGTAATATTTTCACATTACTTAAAATTATTGAAGCTGCAGTAGTTGCTGGACATGTAGTATATTTGTCAAAACAATGTCTCAGCTCCTCAGAGCTGTGATCACTCCAGAAGACTAGCAGGACCTGAAGTGCAACTGTCCGTATCATTCATGACCAGTGCAAAGGGACATCTCTGTATTTCCCACTCTGGCTTGCAGCCAACACAAAGGAGCAAGTGGGAAGCTCCTGCCCTCCACAGATTATTGTTATAGGAGCAGGAGACTGGCAGGAATACAGATCTTCCAGAGAAAAAGGTGAAAGCCTGGCATAAGAAGTGTAAGCCTTACAAAAGTGGCAGATTCAGGTTTTACTCAATTCTTCCCTTCCTGGCAGGAGCACTAGAGGTGCACCAAGTACTTTTCTCATGTGAATATAATTTGTTACTCTAATTCTTGAGCCAGACCACCATATGCCTAGTCATTAAGCATAGTTTTGCAGTGTAAGTACACTGCTTAGGCTGACTTAGATACCTAAGCTGAGTATTTGGGTTGTCAAATGCAGATTTGAATAAATACACAGAGAACTAGATTGATCCTTATTTTGAGATTTGAGTTCATAGCTGTAACGATTATCCTTTTAGCACTCTTATTCAGATCATCTTTGTCAAGCCAATGTAAATTTGGATTAATAGATTGTTATTACTGTAAGGTTTTGGATGTGAAGGTGTCACAACTCTCTTCTTTTTAAAACAGCCAAAGCAAACCAACAAATCAGGAGTCCTACCAATTTTGTAACGTGACTTTATTAAACTGTTCAGAATTGTATAGGAGACACTTAAGTAAACTGTGTTTCAGTGCTGAGAGAGGACAGAGTTCTTATAATTTGGTATTGAAAGAGGGATCCAGCCAGATGGCTGTTTTGGGGTTGGCTAAAGGTAAATGTGAGATCTTGGTTTTCTGCATTCTGAGAATGATTCAGCGCATGAGCTATTTAGGCCCCAAATAATTTCTTAAAGTACATGCATTTCACATTTGCATAAGGTGATCTTGGTGCATCCTGTTACAAACCAAACAGAATACCACTCTCCACAATTTAATGCAGACTTCATAGATAGATAATCTATGTTTTGGTTTTTTTTTTTTGTTTTTTTTTTGGTTGGTTGGTTTGTTTTTGGTTTGGTCATTGTTTTGGTGTTTTTTTAGGGAATATCCATCTGTTTTTAGGTTAGCTGTAATCATTCAGGGCTGAAGCTTCATGGGAAATGAACTGAGCTGTTCTGGATAGGCCTAGGCACCTCTGAGAACCATACAATGATGCAGGGTAGTGAAGGCTCTACATTTCTGTCTGCTAGTTGCCAGACAGCTCTTTCCAGAGCTGCCAGGCTGGGCCTTTTTCTATAATTGTTTAGATAATTATTGTGGTTAGCTAGCTTTTTAATTTTGGTGTATCTATGTCTCTTCACAGGCATCCCCTGTGAGTGCAGCCAGCTAAGGAAGGCTATTGGTGAGATGGATATCCAAGTGGCCCAGCTGACAACGGAACTAAAATTCATAAAAAATGGTAGGTTAATTTGATATGAACATTTTCCTTTTTCATTGCCTCATTTTACCGGTGTGATTGCTCGTAGAGAGCGTCACCGTTCCGCACCTGATCTGTGAAGCTATTTTGGGGTGTGCAGTAACTTGGTTTATAGAAATGCGAGTGCTCACTTTTCAGCACTGCCCTCCCCCGCAGCTGTTGCTGGTGTGCGTGAGACAGATAATAAGATATATCTGCTGGTGAAGGAAGAGAAAAGATACAAGGAAGCCCAGCTCTACTGCCATGGAAGAGGAGGGACGCTGAGCATGCCCAAGGATGAGACTGCCAACAATCTGATCGCCTCATACATCAACCAAGCTGGGCTCACCAGAGTTTTCATTGGGATTAACGACTTAGAGAAAGAGGGAAATTTTGTCTATTCTGACCGATCACCCATGCAGACCTTCAACAAATGGCGCAGTGGGGAGCCCAACAATGCCTATGACGAGGAGGACTGTGTGGAGATGGTGGCGTCTGGAGGGTGGAATGATGTTGCGTGTCATATTACCATGTATTTTGTGTGTGAATTTGACAAGGAAAATGTGTAAGCTTGTCTGCTCTTTCTTTATTTCAAGAAAAGATTTTAAGCCGATTGTACAAGTTACTCCATGTTTATAAAGTACAAATGATATTTTGCAAGTATGTAGCGTCAACGTTGTACAGCTGTAAATACAATTTAGGTATTTCAAATATCAGTATTTACCCTTCAGAAGGGAAGAGCAATGATGAGACATAGCTTGGTTTTTCTGTAGGAAATACATGTATTTAGATAAAAATGTGGTTTGGGGCCAGATTCTGCCGTCACAACAGTTAACATATGTGACTGGGTGACTGTAAGGGAAGGCAGAATTTGGCCTCTAGTTGTCAGAATGATTATTTCTGAAGAAGTAGATTCCTGATATTCTTTTATCTTAGCAAAATTTGTAGCTATAAAAGTTAATTGCTTGTAGTGCTACAGGGATATTTCCGTAACAAGGCAACTATTTTGTATACTCCAGTTAATAAGTACAAATATTACTGTAAGGTTTTGGATGTGAAGGTGTCACAACTCTCTTCTTTTTAAAACAGCCAAAGCAAACCAACAAATCAGGAGTCCTACCAATTTTATAACGTGACTTTATTAAACTGTTCACAGCTGTATAGGAGACACTTAAGTAAACTGTGTTTCAGTGCTGAGAGAGGACAGAGTTCTTATAATTTAGTATTGAAAGAGGGATCCAGCCAGATGGCTGTTTTGGGGTTGGCTAAAGGTAAATGTGAGATTTTGGTTTTCTGCATTCTGTAACTGAGAATGATTCAGCGCATGAACTATTTAGGCCCCAAATAATTCTTAAAGTACATGCATTTCACATTTGCATAAGGTGATCTTGGTGTATCTTGTTACAAACCAAACAGAATACCACTCTCCACAATTTAATGCAGGCTTCATAAATAGATAACGAATTGTCAGATTGTAAGGTTGACCCCCTGAAAAGCAGCAAAAGTTTCCAAGATTTTCCTCACTGTGTATATAGCAGTAATAACTAACTTTGCACAAATGATTTTTGTACCACATTTACAATTGCATGTGATGGGAAAATGTGATATGCATTAAAATAAAACCCAACAACATAATTTCACAAAGGAAATACTTTGGATCTTCCTAGGAGCCAGTTGCACGACGTCTTACCTTCCTGTCAGGCATAGAAAGATTGCTTCAGAATCTCTGACTGTGTTTCCTCAGCAGTACCTTGCAGAGTGTTTTAAGTTGATTTTTAAGGAGGAACGATCCTTTGTATAACATAGTAATCAAAATACGTATCTGATCATTATCAGAGATTAGTCTACAACATATCCACAGAGGATGTGGCATGTGGTTCCAGAGATTTCCCTGTAGCAAAGCAAGACCAACTCATATCAACTCTACAGTGCTGTGGTATATAAATAATTAATGACCACACAATTCTATTCATATCCACAGAATCTGAAAATACTTGATGCAATGCTGTTATTTTATACCTAAGAAAACAAACCATTTTGATTGCTATATTTGCTCTGTGAATTTGAATCCATTATATATATAATTTTATATATATAATGGATATTATTAATATTATTTTTGAAGATCAGTAGGAAATTCCTCTATTATTTGAGTATCAGCCTGGCTCCAGAGCAGTAGTTCTAAGAAGTGAACATTCATTTGATTGCTTTGCTTTCTTTGCAATAAAAGTAGGTATCAGTCCTGTATGTTAGGCATTCTTCCAACTGTATATTGAAATCTATTAAATAATGTGAATATGGTGCTACAATAATATTCAAAGACTCTTTACGGATTTTGCAGGAAGCTAAGAATTTCATGGTATGAGTTGTTTGTTTAGAATAGTGCCTTTTGAATATCATGATTGTTTCCTGCCTGCTGCAGAAATCCTCAGAAGCTGTTTAAATCTCCAACATACTTTTGTTGAATCATTGTAGCTGTATTAAAACAGACCAAACCTGAATTACAGATACCTGGAGCTCCCTCATTATGTATGTGCTGAAGTTGCTAACTTTATTGTTCACCCAGGTTTTGAAAGTCTCTATTGTAATGTTTGATTTCCTCAGAAACATGAAAAGAGGCCTTTTGAGAAGGTGGGAAGCTTTTTCAGATGCCAAATACTCCCATGTTTATAAAGATTGATTTGACATGTAGAGCATTTAAGCAGTCTCAATTCCTGTTAAAATTTAAGATTAAAAATAAAGGCAATGGAGAAAACATTTATTTCCCCCAGCTTTTGTGTTCTTTGGGATATATTTTTGCAGCTCTTGATACACAAGACAGAAAGGAAATTGTGTTGTCACACTTGCAGCAGTCCCTATTTCACCATTTGGGAAAGTAGAACAAGGCTATTGTGTAAGATCTTTAGCTCTCTGTCCTGCAAGGAGCAAAGACTGCACATCTTACATTTACCCATGCAAGGAACTGCGTAAGAAATGATGGAGGGATTGGAAATGAGTGAGCCCTTCATTTATTTCACCCTCCGGTTGCTGATCCCCACAAGTGGACGCTTGCTGGGGGCAGAAATCAATGTTGCATGTAGTGCTCAGCCTGGGCAGAGCCTGCTGACATGCATGGTAAGATTTCCACTGCTCTCAGATAAATTGTTTAAAGGGAAAAAAAAAAAAATCAAATGATACTTTAGCTTTACTTGGTGTATTTTCCATGTGTATTAAAACCTGCATTGTAACGTCATTAAGCATGTCGTGTAGCTTTATGGAAACCTTTGGAGCACGTCTGTCTGGCAAACATACGCTGAGGTTTCCCAGGCTGTTCATGCATGCTTTAATTTTGATGGATGATTTTTCCTCATAAATATTTTGCTATAGCTCTTATTTTATTCATAATTAAGAGGCATGTTGGTGCATTTTAAGAAGGCAACAATAACAGATTATTATTTTTTATAATATAGTCACCCTTTCATGCTTTTGAATAACTTCTTCACATAAAATGCGTATTTCATTCAACTGTATTCCTCATTTTAGCTTCTAGGGCTATGTTGTTGTGTTACTGATGTCAGGGCCAGATATGCAGCCCCTTTCTAGGAGATGACTTGGCACAGGTAAAGTATTTAGCTGGCTCCAAGGAGAGCTCCACTGTCGGGAAGAGCCTTGCGTCCCTGTAGATCTCCTGACAGAGCAGTGGACAATATCCGAGTCTGATAACAACCTGGATTTGCCATTCTGCATCCTGGATCCTTGTTTGAAGGTGCTGCTTCCACCTGCCTTGTTATCCTGCTCAGCTCCTGGTTTACCATCCTTCATGGACCTACTGTTCTCACTGTGCCCTGACAGCTGACATGATTATCCCTGAAAATACAGTTTTGTGACAGGTTGTAGGTTAGCAGCAGAACTTCTCCCTGGCTGTAAGTGTTAAACTATCTTATGTCAAAGAGAAGAGCTGTAGAAAAGTAGTATTTAAACATGGGATATAGAGCATCCTTATTCATATAATTAAAACTGAGTGCTTTGTTTTTCATAAGCTCAGGAAATGGCAGTTCAAATGTGCATTACAAAATAGGAGCTGGTTGGACTTCTTCTGTTAGAGTTTTTGATGAAAAGTGAAATAAGGTGAAATTAAAAAAAAATTGATTGTAAAATATAATGAAGGTCCAGAATGAACAAAGACACTCTGAAGTAGATGCTTTTCAAGATGTTTCCTTTTGGAATTTTTCAGAATTTCATTTCTGAGTTCTGAAGCTTCATTTTGACCCGTAACGGGTTTTCATTTTCATATTATTGCCAATGTGCTTTACTCTGTATCAGTAACAGTGTTCAGTATAATACTTGAAATATTTTACTTTAAGGTTTAATTTCTAATAGGAACAAGTTACCTTTTGAAGAGTTCTGTGGAATTTGGCATCTGAATGGTTTCTCCTTCTGGGACTACTGTGACGCTGTAAACACTCTGAATACAAAGCAATTGATAGTTAAACCAACATTAAGTAAAAGATATTCTTACTGATTATGAAAATGAGTTCTTTAAGTATTATGCCGTATACCTAGCAGTTTATGCACTGTTACAAATGTCCAATCATTAAATAAGATAAAGCATTTTTAAATATGAAAATTGTACAAATATATTTTCATCCTGAATTGAAATGAAAGATTTCAAAGTAACCAATTACCATTAAACTGGAAATTTAGGATTTCGTCTGGGTCTATATCCAGATTTAGTTTTTATGGGAAACTCCGTGGCTTGTGATGCTGGTGGCTGAATCAAATTCTAGAGAACAAAATTAGCTTCTAATGCAAACACTGATTATGTATGACTCTACCCCTTTCACTTTCTGGACTGTCCCCCTTAGCCTTTCTTTTCAAGCATTCTGCTCACTTACCTCTGTGTATAAATGTGTGCATGAGTTTGTCCCAAGGGTCAATTCCTTTTCACTGAGCATTCTGGTTTTCAGTTTTTTGGCTTGCCCTGTGGTGCCAGCAGGTCCATGATACTCAACCTGTCTGCCACAGATCACGGACCAAGAGATTTATGATTCTGTGTGGGTTGTCCATCAGGGGCAGCTGGAAATGCTCCATGAAATGAAAGTGTCCATGAAGCCTCCTGTGATGGGAGGGGTATTGTGCAGGACTGGTATTGGCCACTACCTTGAGTGCATTTTCATGGCTGGGGAGAGGCATTCCAGCCTACCAAGAGAAGAGCTGACCTTGTTACTGTGGTTAAAAAGAAACCAGAGACTTAAGACTTACTTAGGGTAAAAACTGTGCAGTGGAGGGTTTTGACTATTTACTTTACAGAGTAGCTGAAAGGAAGAACAGTTTATTTTTAATTTTGCTGTGTTAGGAGAGTACAAACTATGTGAATTGGGAGAGAAGGGGTTTGTGGAGAGGGTGATAGCTGTGTGCTCAAGGTGGTTTTCTGGATGCATGTCTCATCCCAGTCAGGAGCTTTTCAATTGGATGAGGAGGGGAGTCCTCTCCAGAGGGAGAGCATGAAATGGAAAAGGTGGGAGAGGTACTCAGTGGATGTGCAGAACCAGCAGTGAGTTGGATGCCCATGAGGCAGAATGTAAATGTTACCTCCAGCCATTCTCCTGCTTCCTGCTAGGGAAATGTAATTATCTTGCCCTTTCTGTCAGTATGTCTCACTACAGCTCTGGATGGGTAGCTACAAAAATAGAGGAAGGTGACCAATTTAGCGTAATGTCTTTGTATAAATAAAGCCCAATTTGAGTCTATGGCGGAATAATAGCATCCACTACTCTTTGGGTATATTAATGTATGAAATCACTGGGGATGTAATTATGCACTGCTATTCAAAGGCTAGCTATGTAGTATTGATGAGTTTCTGTATATTCCTTACATGTAAAAGTGTGAAAACTGCCAAGAATTCAGCAGCAGAATGGCTGGTGTGCAGCTGAACCATACATGTGTTACCATACTATCATCTAGTGGCAGTAAGAGGCAAAATGAATGAGCTGAGCAGTAGTTGCTTTTGCTTGTTTCGGAGTCACCATGTTATTGAGGGCAACTGCTGATATGGTATTGAACAAATGATCTCTCATTTCTGAAGTCAGCTTTTTTCTCTTGTTTGTGAAAAAATTATTTTGATTTATAACAAAGAAATATGCACTGATTTTAAGTCCAATGCCCAGTTGAGAGTTTTGACTAAGAAGTGAGAAGTGTGCCCAAATGAGTTCAATTATCATGCCTTGGAGTTAAGAAAAAGAAAACAAGTCAAGCTGTGCTCTGCAGGCCAGCATCTGAATTGCAGGTGCAGATCTTCACCTGGCATCAGTCAGCTTCAGTGAAGCCAAATTGATTTATACCTGCTGAGGATTTGGCATAGTATCTTCATAAATTCTAGATATATGCTTATTTCAGAAAGAAAGAGAGAGAAGTATTTTGATGTTCATCATTCATTCCGACCACTGTTATTCAAAGTCTGATCCAGTGTAATGGATGCATCTCTCATGCAAATTTCTGGGCTATAATCAGCTATGACACAAATATTGAAGATAAAATAGCTGACAGAGATGTATAGGGTGAAACTTTACCCTTGTGCACAAACAGTACGATGCAGAACACAAGGAAGCAGTAAAAGCATTCAACATAAAGAGTAAGTCCTCTATCATTTTATATTCTTCTATGAAAATTAAACCTTTGTTTTTGGCCTTACTCAACATTGATGCATAGGAGTAGATGGGTGACATCTAGTGAAGAAAAGATTTATTGCATATCTAGAGAGCCATAAATCCAACTCTGTTCCTGCTTCATTCCTTAGCATGATCAGAATAATGACAGACAGACATTCTACAAGAGGGAACTTGAACAATATGTACAGTTCACTGTTGCTGTAGCACGTACTGAAATAAAAGTATAAAAATGCAAAATCCTCATTACAAAGTGCCCTGCACATGCATGTATCAGCTTGCTTTATTTAATCCCATTCTCTGCTTCTTCCACAACATCACTTCCCTCCTGCTCCAGATTAAAAAAATCTAATATAGTAAGTTGTGACTTATTTAGGTAAAGTTCAGTATCTCTCCTAAATACCCCCAACTGGATTAGCAGAAAAGTTTATAGTTGACCTTGATGTAGGCAATTACTTTTTCATACTGATTTTTGGCTATATCTTACCATTCAGAAGCTTTTGAAAGTGGAAGATAAACTCTGGATCCCATAACCTTGCACTGCAAAAGCGTAAATGCATTACAGCTGATGTGTTGACACTATGCCTAACAGTTGGTGATAACACCTTTATTTAAAAAGTACTCTTTGAAACTATTGTTCTGATCTCCACAGAGTCCTCAGTTTTCTTCTTAAAGCTTGTTTTCTTTTTGCATCTCGTCAGACCCAAAATGAAGTTAATTATCTATTATATATATATAAATTATTATATATTCCATACTGTATAATCCTGGAAATTGATTTACTGGTGCAGTTGTTTTGAATCATAAGCAATTTAAGATGGATTCTTTGAAAATATAATTTATACTATTAACTAAGACAACTCTCCTTTAGGTCTAGACCATTTTTTGCTTCAGAGTAAATAGAAGATCAACAGATGTAACCCATGAGACAAATCTGCTTCATGATTTTAAATGAAACTGAAATGGGCTGGTTGCTAACAGACAAGAAGTCAGTGTCCCTTAATCTTATAGTCCAGATAAAGGAGGGCCTGGGCTTGCTGACACCAGGCTGTACTGTGGCATGCCTGCTGTTAGCTGACAATAGGGATACGTGCCCTGATGCTTTGTGG